GAATAAAGTGAGTTTCCTCAGAAAGAAATGAACCAATAGAGCTGCAGCTTCCTCTTCTACCTGAGCCAGGTGAGTCCAACAGCTTTTTCCAGGTGAGCAGGTGTTTCTAGCTGAGCCTGGCTTCTACACGTCCAGGAGAGCAGACTCTGGCTTCAACACTGGAATCTTTGGTCCACATTGGAGCCTCCACTTCTCCATAGAGGGCCCCCTGGAGGACTGAAGGAGCCCAAGCCGATGCTCCCGTACAGCCACCTCTGCATCCTGCTGGCAAGTCATCTTCCCACACTGAGGACCACACTGGTTAACTGGTCAGACTTCCACCTCCCGTCTGCCTGGAGCACAGACTAGTCCCATCCAAAACCGCCTGACAAGAGTCTGGAAGTAATAGAAGATAAAATAGAGAGAAGAAAAGAAACCAGACACAAATAAAAAGATGTCATCGGAAAAATAATATAATGTCTATTTTGAACATTAACACATTGGCCTTAAAACACACACATGTAACTAGAGATGTGTCCGTAGAGCAGGGGAGGTTGTTCCTCTCTATTGTTGAGAGGAAAGAGGGAGATCAACTATAAACAAGATAACTGGTTAAAATAAAAATGACCAAATCTCAGTATCATTTATTAAAATCATATTTTCCTCTCTGCTTTGAAAAAAATGTAATTCCTCAAATTGTGATTAAATGCTTCACACGCGAAACCTGCAGGACACCCTAGTGTTTTTTAAGGAAAGTGCAGCTGCTGTTTCAGTGTGGGTATTTACCAATGGTGCTGGGATCAAATTACTGTCATCATTTCCTTGTAGCAGAGAAATAGAGCTGCTGTGTTCTGAACTACTTTGTTGAGGAATAACTGCCAATTTGATTCAAGCCTGCTTCTTGTTACATCTCACAACCTTTCAATCAGGAAAGACTTTATTTTGGAGTGGACAAATATATTTACGATGGATATGTGCTCAGTGATAGGGGAATTGAAAATCTTTGGCGATTAGACCTCCATCCATGTAAAGTCTGCGGGTTTGAGGGTGGTTGTGGTGGAGCTGCGTGGACCAAAAACCAATACTGGTCCGCCCTGCTCCCGAAAACTGCACATGGAGCACCTCACTACCGCCGATGTTCGCTCGCGTTAAAGCATTGCCGATACCAACAATCAACAACTAAAGTCGCGCTGTACGGTGGCAAAACAGAACATTCATATTTCTTAGTCTTAACGGAACATCAAAATATGTCTAATGGCAGCTTAAAAAAGCTATCAAACAGTAGTGTAATCTGGTATCTACAACAGCTTCGGCAAGGACGAACAACAGATAGACTGTCCCATTCCCAAAACCAGATATAATTCCGATAACACATAATCTGTAGTAGTCGAAAGAGGGGCTCTTAGAAAGGTACAACGTTACTAATAGTCTTTCATACACTTAAATAAAAGCAGATATACATAACAGTATTATCTAAATACACTATCATAGACAAAGTTCATCATATATCAGATATTTATACACAACTTTATCAAATCTCAAGCAAATCAATGACAGAATATCTTGTACATTTATACGTTATACTACCCACTTAGTAATAGTATCTTCCATTATACTTAACACATCATATAGAGCCTATCTATGTCACTTCTTTACCCCTAAATCATTCTACCTGACAAACACAACGTAATATCTCTTTCAGTCCTTATCTAAAGTAAAACCTTATACACACCCAGATATATATAAAAAGTTCTTATTCAAATAACTTAATAGGTTAATAATTCGTTCATTTAATACACCATTATAATGAAGCTAATCTACAGTACCATTTCACTACACCCATTATAGAAGTATTTACACACTAAGTCATTTATACATATTATATAAAATAAAACACAGCCAATACACTCTCGACTCCTCCTATCTAACCAGTACTAATGTTATAATAACTTATAAATAGAAAGTATCCATATAGTCTATTTATACAAACCCATATAATTCCGAACAACATTATAAGACATCTACAGTCTTTATAAAAATTATAAGAGTATAACTAGCTTTATACGTTATAGAATATCTAAGTCTTTATACACATTTAGAAGTATCTACAGTTTTTATACACGTTATAGAAGTATCCTACAGTCTGTATAACAATTATAGAAGTATCTACAGTCTTTATACACATTATAGAAGTATCTACAGTCAGTGTGTCGGAGAGAAACCTCCTGTACAATGTTATAATGAGAAACCTGTTCAATATTTTAATTTGGAAGCTCAAAATAAAGATTTAATCTCTCAAAGTAACGACTTTGTGACAGTAAATCCAAATATTGAGAGTCTTTCTCATTCTTTTGAGATGCTATGTCAATATCTGAGAGTTTCTAATTATAGTGACTGAGAATCGTCATATTGGCTGAAATGTGTTTCCATAGAGGTGTTTGCATTAAACTGGGAGTTAATGTCAAACTGGAGTGTCAGTGAAAGCTTTGAAAGAGGGTAAATCAAACTGCCTAAATCTGAATCTGCAGGGTAATTAGGGCTTCACAGTTAATCAGAATATGATATTAATGACAGATCACGATAATCTGCACCAAATAAACATGTTTTCTTCCATCTGGAGAACTCGATTGGTAGCTCAGAGGATCTCTGCAGCTTATGCAAACTTTGGATATTGTAATTTCTATAATATCTCCATTGATTGTGCAGCTCTACTTATAATGAAGTACTGTTGTGCTGCAGAGATGATGTCTTTAACATATTGTGCAGCCATACTATTCACTATTTAGATTTAACTTCCACTTTAGTAGTTTTAGTTTTAGTCAAGTTTAATTTTAACACATTACGAAAGATCTTCCCATCTTAACACCTTATAGGGAAACTTCATCTACACTTATAAATATCTCAGTCTTAACACGTATAGAAATCTCATCTTAAACACATATAGAAGATCACAGTCTTATACACATAAGAAATCACAGCTTAAGCACGTAAAACTCTACAGTCTTTAACACATTATAAGAAATCACACATTAAGCACATTTATAAAACTCAGTCTTATACCCATATAAGAAACAACAGTCTTTAACCACATAATAGAAGTATCTTCAGTCCCTATACCACATTTATAGAGTAACACAGTATAACACTTAACTGAAGTATCAGTCTAACACATTATAGAAGAATACAGCTTTATACACATATAGAATCTACATCCAGGCGAAGAAACCTCCTGCTACAAGTTAAATAGAAAACCTGTTCAATATTTTAATGGAACTCAAAAAAAGATAAATCTCCAAAGAACGACTGGACAAGAAAATCCAAAATATAGAGATCTTTCTCATTCGTTTTTTGAATGCATGCAATATCTGAGATCTCAATTATCAGTGACTGAAACGCATATAATGCGCCTCGAAACTGTTTTCCAAGAGTTCTGCATAAACGGGGAAATGTCAAACTGGACGGCAGCGAAACTTGGAAAGAGGTAAACGCTCAAACGCCTAAAATCTCACGCAGTAGATTAGGCTTCACAGTTAATCAAAATAGGATTATTAATGACAAGATCACATAATCTGCACAAATAACACATGTTCCCATCGGGAACCATTTAGCTCAAGATCATCACTACAAAAACTTGATATTTAATCTCTATAATACCCATTTGAGCAGCTCCTACTTAAAATGAAGTACTGCTGCGCTGCAAGATGCATGTCCTAACCATAGCCGTGCACCATACTAATCCACCTATTTACGAAACTATCCACTTATCATTATTTAGTCAATTAATTCGGGCTCATATTTTACCCATGTCCAACTCGAACAACACAATTTAAAATACTTTCCATTAATCCTTAATCCTTCTAATAATAAATGAAGTAAAACTTTTACTGTATATTCTTTGTTTTTCTGTTTTTGCCCCTTTGCGCTGTGTCAACTGA